CCCGAAACGAGGGAGGAAGTCCCGTGGACTGCGTCAATATGAATATCGTATAAAATCTAAACGGCTGCAGACAACGAGATTCATCCATCCTCATCTGGTGAGATCGACCAATGAATCTCTTCTTCATGCACTTTCATACGAAATAAAAGTCCTCCTAACAATGTTATCGCAGGAGATTCATCGAAACCAAGTTTCTCTTCGTATCTAAGATAAGCGTAGAGCTGAAGTTTCCATTGAATTTCACATAGTCTTGCTTTACCAAAAGTCGTTCTCATTCAAGCTGGAGTGGACTGTAGTTTCGACCTCGCATCGGTTTTATCAACACCCCCAGCGGGAGTCGAACCATGACAAAGCAGAATGGATTCTTGACACGTTAACAACTCGTTCACACTGTCACAAGTGCCCTTAGATCACAGGGCAGATGTGAATTTCAAGGAAGGCCAGGCCTTTTGCCATATCATATTCTTTGGTGGGATTGTCGATCTATATTTGCTATAACAATCGACTACGTAGTATTGAAAGTCTACTTACATACCTCAATTTTATTCAATTTGACAACCATCCTTTTTTCGCATACTCTAAGCTGGTTTTCTGCAGCAAGAATTAAAGAAGCATCTTTCCACTCTTCAAGGCCCGATTTGGTCAGGCATGACAAATGTGAAAATACATTCTACCACTCGGCTGTTGATGATGTGGTCGGTATTTGCGGTCAGTATATATGATAAGAGAACAGAATTTTTCATGGGAGTAAACTTTTGTGTGTTGACATGCTGTTGTTTACATTATTTTTCGACTGAATTACGTTTCTCCCATGCTTGCTCGAACATGGTCTGCCAAAGAATACCTGAATTTATCCCCTGGCTTCCCACCCGGGCCTGTCCTATCCGCATATCTACACACATACACGCACGCACACACACACACACACACAAAACACACATGTACTCACAAATGTCTGTGGGAAAAGGAGGCGAGGAGAAGCGGTTACTAGCTGTGCTTTAAACTGGGTCCATCGGGACCAGCGTGGTTTATGGCTATTTTGCGGTCTGAGACTGCAGCTCACCTGAAGCATCTGCCCGAGTGTATGCAGGTGCGTATGATGAGGAATGTGAAATGGTGAACGGCTCTTTCACTAGTACCAACGACAATTGGTAGGCTTGGTCGATCCTGCAACTGGCAGGGATCCGGACGCGTTGACCGCCGAAAGGGCAGCAACACAAACACTGACCTACACTCTGTCGTCGCATCCACCCCGAACATACCATTCTCCTTCCATTCCCAACATCTCAACCCTCCGCCTTTCCAGTTCAAGTCCACTTTATTCGGTCATTCCATCTTCACGAGTCTCTGCATCAAACAAGCGAGTTTTCGTCCACTTAGCCCAACTCCCCTCGTAACTTTATGCCTTTCGGACACGTGCGACCGACATACAGGGCCCACCCAACCAATCGCCACAGTCTCATCCCGTAGGAGTCAACCCGCACGATATGCACAGGCCATGACGGCGGCCAGCTCAATGGAATGCCTCAGGAGTAATGCTACCTACGCCTTTATTCGTTTGTGTCTACATGTGTGTGTGTGTGTGTGTGCGTGTGTGTGTATGTGAATAGGAAAATTCGAGTTCATGTCAGCAAGACCGCCCATAGCTGTGCGCAACTAAAAGATGGCCTGTGTTTTTGCCTTTACCTACATTCTCCACTTTCGGCCTTCCATTTCGCCACCGGTGTAGCGCTTCTTGCGTAGCGCCAAACCAAGTGTATATGGCGCCGCTCCCATATTTGTGTGTATTTGTGTGTGTGTGCATACTAAAAACTTACTAAGGTGATGAAAAAGCAGTGAAGGAGCAAATTGGATTAAATTGAGTATTTTATAAGACAATAAAATTCACCGATGCATTTCCCTGATACGCACTGCCAGGTTATTTCCTTCGATGGGATGCAATCCAGCCTACTGCTCGAGTGCCAAGTGTGTGCTAAGTGGGTGCCGGAGTGACAGGAAAGAAGGAGGCCTATAGTTATGGGAAAGGGAGACTCTAGGCTACATCAATGAAAATAAGGAATACGCCAATTAGTTACAAAGTCCTTTTATATTTAAAGATTATGTTTATCCATCCTCATCGATATTTGTGACACTAATTTGGACTATTTTATACACGAGTATGCTTCGAAGCCAGCACTTATTCTTGGTAGCTTAGGGTGAATTAAAGACTAATATCGAAATTTCCTGCAATTAAGTGAGCAGGTCAGGCCAAGTGTGATTCAATGGCATCATGAGATCTACTCATTTTCCTGTGGGAAATTTCGCTGCTGGCCACTAGTCCACCTTAAATCGCTATTGCAACCAGACGCAAGTACCCGACTAGTAGTACAAGTTGCAAGACGTCGTGACCGTATGGCTGGCGACTCAGAAACAAAAGTATTCAGCTGAGCGCTTTCCTTGGGTCTTCTTTTAGAAGATTTTCTCTTCTATGCCATATCATGCTATGATTTTAAATAAATTTTGGCCTCTGCGATCTAGTGAAGCCTCAATCCTCAAATGCATTTAATATTTATTGCACTGTCTCAAGTCAGTAAGTTCAAAATGGGGGTCATTCAATCGACAATGCTAAATAGTTTTTGTCCAGCCAAACTGGTGAGATTAACAAAGGAAAAGAGTTTTCATCATTTAAGCTCAAAACAATTATCCCATAGAAGTGATATGGTCTCGTTTGACTAACCTATTCATATTGTTAAGGGGGCCTAGATAAATGTATCTTATCCAAAGTCATTTGTTATAGTTCTA